CATTTGCTTTTTAAAGCCAAATAAGTAGAGCTCTGCTGCAAATTAATTTTGGCAATACCATCCAGAGGTAGAAAAATGTGTCTGTAATGAACCTACCCAGGCACACAAACAGATAGACACAAAGATGTCATAGTTTTCATTTTAAAACTGAAGTTGTGAATCAGGTATAATATAAAACTCATTTGCTTATAAATAACAATTGGAATAAATTAAGTGTACTTGCTCGGGTGGCTAAAGTCTTTTATTATTTGTGGAGGAGACTTTTAAGATCTGCATTGCTCCTTGACAAGAAATTTACAGAAGCTGTTTGGGCAAGAGAGTCCTTTCAGCAGTTAGTGTTGTAAAAGACCTCTTTTCCTCCTTTTTTCAGTCATAGGAATTGGAGGTGGTCTAGATTAGAATTCCCAGAGGGGTTACAAGCCTTTTGAGATACATAAAGGAGGTCTGGGGATTGATGAAAAAGAATGGGTGGCATTTGAACTGCCTGTATAGCTGCATTCCCAGTTTTGCAAAGATTTGAAAAATGTAACTTAAATGACACCGTAGGTTAAGCCACCCATCCAACTACATTATGCCTGGTTTTAAAAGGGGCTGTCGTTACAGGAGGTGGAGGCAGTATGGCTAGCCTTCTGCGAGGGGTCAGTCTCCATGCGATAAAAAAGAAGCTCAGAAAAAGATGGACAGCAAGGAGAGCATGACAGCAGACATTCAGAGGGACAGGAAGGAGCAGAGAGAGAAGAGAGAGAGAGAGAGAGAGCTTTCAGAAGCCTCAGAGGATTTTTTTCCAATTTGGGAATCCTTTGAGATAACTGTGAGTTAGTTTTCCTGAGGAAGAAATAGTGGATTAATTATTGTGTTTGGAGGCCTCAAAATGTCAATTGAAATGTGTTTCCCATTCTTGTTGTCTTACAACCTTTTGCTAATCGACTGCACAAATAGACTAATTTAGGAATTTCAAAGGAGTCTCAAGTTGGCCAGTTTAACAGTAAATCATTCCAGGTAATCATAGTCTAATGAGACAAATACTTGCCAGAGGAGCGCCCACAGTTCTTGACATAAAACTGTCAGAAGTTCCAGAAGAAGGCTGCCCTGCAACCTTACCCTTAAAGAGGGAACCTCCCATTATTCCAAGAGTAATTACTCACCAGAACAAATGGGAAATTAAGTCCCGAGAACAGAAGCTTGCAATGGAAGACACTCAAGTCAACCAGACCCTTTACCAAGACAGGAGGTCTGGGTCCAGGAAGACCCACCAACACAACCCAGGACCACTGAGGAGACAACAGAGCACAATGGATCCTAGTAGGACCTGACTTGAATCTACAGGGGGCTGGACGAGGGGGGAAGGTCACTCTGTATCCCCTTTCTCTGACACCATGTCATGTTGACCAAGATGCACAGAACGCTGAAGAGAAGAGAAGAGTTTATTTGAGACCTTTTATCATTACAATTTGGAAGACACAGATTTCAGGTAAAACTGAAAAAACGTTCTGAAGAAGAGAACAAGTCACAGGCTTATAAAGGCAAAAGCCATGAGGCCGTCCTCTGACACAAGGAAGGAAATATTTGTCCTTAAGGGATAGGCTGTGGTGAGTTATTTTAGGTGAGGTTCTGATAAGTATCTGGAGTTTCAGGAACACTGGGCAGATGTTCTGGATGCCTGCATTAAGACAATAAGTGATCAAAAGGTCAGATTCTAGCCATGCTGAGACGTGCATAAGTCACACTCTCTCAATGGCCTCCCAGCTCCATTTTAGAGAGCTCTCTTAGCCACAGTGACACCATTTTGATTTTCCATTCACACCTGGCAGACCAACCCGCTGACTGAGCAGCAAACAGATACGAGGTCACATCTAAAAAAGTCCCTCCAAAAGTAATCACTAAATTTGACTTTTAGCAAACAATTGGATAATTTTAAGATCTCCCAGAATGTTTCTTAAAGAGGGGTTCAATAGAGGAAGTTTACAGAACAGAATTCCTATCATTCCAGCTTCTCACCTTTCATGGAAAGGGCCGTCAAAGAAAGCTCTTCTTGCCCAGTTTGCCTTATCACTGAAGCCAGAGAGAATCCTGCAGGCACTGGGATAATTCTAAACAGATCCATTTTGGTGTTGGATTCTCTCACTTTCTAAATAATATCCCAACTGTCTCTGACAATCAAGCAGAATTCCAAAACCCTGCCAGAGAACAGGAGACTTCCAACACACTCTGTCTCCTCAGAATTCATTTGCTTTTAAAAAAGAAGAGTTCTCTTTGACATCATTTTAGAAAGGTATGCTGAAATGTTTGTTTCGGAATTTGTTTATTCTGTATTAGTTTTTTAGTTTTGAATCCTCAAAAGAGTATTATAAAAAATGGCTACTTCTCCAATTTTCCCAAGTTTGGGGTTGGGGGGAGTGACTACTTTGTAAATTTACTAAATCTAGGCTAGAACCTCATAATACTGTTTACTAACAGGGGAATTGGGAGGGTCCATCTTCTATGTCAGGTGAGTGGAGGGGAGACTTCACTGATAATGGAGGCTGTCCTGGGGCAGTCTCACCTACACACGGGTGCTACAGCACTGCCTGGAAGCAGAGCCTTAGATCAAACCTCCACATAAAATGAGAATAAGATGGGAAATGTGTCTTCCATCCTGCCCAAAGGGGTATCCGACATGCCCTGTCTTTTAGGGAACTGTCTCGGCCTCCTTTTCAGAGAGTGGTCCTTAGGTGGTTGGGATAGAGGCCAAGTTCCTTTCTTAGGATAGAGAACTGTCCTGAACAAAACTGCTCATTAGTGCTGCCCACCACCAGGGGAGGCATCATAAAGGGCTGATCATTGGAGAAACTTGGTGCCCTAAGCAGGGCGGAGACGCCCCCTCGGTCAGCTCTACTAGCACTAATTCCACGTCTGATTGGAAGCAAAGCTAGAGTATGCGGAGTGTGTGTGTGTGTGTGTGTTTGTGTGTGTGTGTGTGTGTGTGATGCCTGAACTCTTCCAGGATTCCCCACGTGGCCCAGGGATGAATGGCTTGTCAAGGAGAAAGCATTAGGAAGTAGGGGCATGGCTTTGGACTCAGACTAACCTTGGCTGGAATCCTGCCTCTGTCACATGCATGCTCAGTGACTTTGAGCAGGTTTCTTAATTTTTCTCAGCCTCAGTTTCCTCCACCATAAAACAGGAATAATCATAACCATCCCGTAGAATGAGTGTGAAGAATAAATGCGACGGCACATTGTAAATTGCTCAGCACAGTATCTGTCACATAGTAAGCCCAGAATACAGGTGACCAGTTACCATTATGACAAATATCCAGGTTTCCTTCGAGTCCATGACAGAAGCAAACGAGAAAACTCTCCTCAGCAAGTGCAAAATCACTGTTTATACCAGGTTTGAGGCCAGCAGAAAAGCCAAAAGACTTGTCTTGTCCACATGCAACCCTAGCTCTTCTGAACTCCCGAACGGGATGCTCAAGGCGGAGCTGTCACAGAGAGTTTGTGACCAGACCGTTGTACAAAAGCCAAACCAACTGCAGGCTTTAAAAAGGAGTTCTTTTCACGGGAGGAACTGGCAGTGACTGACGCAGCCGAGAGTCGGAGCGGGGCAGATTCTCATGGGGAAAGGGTGCTGGCAGCAGACCGCTGCCAGAGGGCGCAGAGCGCGGTGCGGCGACACCGGATCTGCGGGCGGCGCGGCGACCGCTCACCGGGGACAACGGACGGCGGTGGGAGGGTAAGAACACCGGTTCCAGAGAAGCACGAAACGATCACACGAGATCCCTGTCAGGGCCAGGCTGTCCCTGCGATTCTGCAGCACCTCTACCGATGCGCAGGTTCCGGAAAGACGGAACGACACGGGAAGTACCAGATGCCGCGCAAACGGCTCCTTATCTGTAACTAGAACTTACGCAGACGGCAATTTGCTGTAAATGCACCTGTGAGCCCCAACACGTCAATCTTGTACCTCGTGGCATGGGACGCTTGCGCTGTTTTACTTTTTGAACTGTCTTTGGCAGCTGCCCAGCAATACTTAGAGAGAAGCAGTCCCTCGCCCCGCCACAGCCCGCTGCTCCCGTGCAGCCTGTTAAACAAGCTCGTTGAGCAATAAGGGCAGGACGGAGAAACCTTCCTCACCTTCAGCCAACCTTTGCTTAATTGGGCAATCAATGTGCGTCCTTCCAGTCCCGGCAAAAGAGAAAGGCCCATTTGGCTTTCCCAGAGCACGCCATTCAGGCTGCAGTTCATTCATCTGCGTCCTTGTGTCTTAGTTGCACAGACTTAACACCAAAGAAACGGCCTCACCTAGACGTACACACTCTTCATGCTTCCTCTTCCGTGCTTCCTTAGCAAGCAGAGGTTTAAAGTCATCAGCTGAGGGGGCAGGGTATAGCTCATTGAGTAGAGCTCATGCTTAGCATGCACGAGGTCATGGGTTCAATCCCCAGTACCTCTGTTAGATTTTAAAAATAATAATTAATAAATAAATAAGCCTATTACCTCCCCTCCAAACCTCTCCCCAAAAAACAACTCATCAGGTGAAATAAGAAAACACTCAGTGTTTAAATGTTACCCTTTTATTCACCTCAGTCATTCAGACTTGTGATGGAAACAACAGCCAAAAATGGCTGTGACTAATTATATCTGCACAAATATATTTTTATTAAAAAGAATATTACTCAATCATGAAAAAGAATGAACTAGTGCCATTTGCAGCATCATGGATGGACCTAGAGATGATCACACTAAGCAAAGTAAGTCAGACAAAGAAAACAAAATATTGTATGATACCACATGTGGAATCTAAAAAAGTGATATGAAAGAACTTATTTACAAAACAGAAACAGACTCACAGGCATAGAGAACAAACCTATGGTTGCCACAGAGGAAGAGGAGGAGGGATAAATTAGGAGTTTGGGATTAATAGACACATGCAGCTATATGTAAATTAGATAAACAACAAGGATTTACTGTAAAGCACAGGAACCACACTCAATATCATGTAATAACCTATAATGGAAAAGAATCTGAAAAGAATACATACATATATTTATGTATAACTGAATCCCTTTCCTGTACACCTGAAAGTAACACAACACTGTAAGTCAACTATACTTCAAGAAAAAATTAAAAACTAGAAAGAATAATGAATTCAAGTAAGACATTATTGGTGAGGTGTTCTGCATAATTAGTTACACAACGGAGACCTTTTGTTCACCTTTTTGTTTCCACGTAGTAGGTGTTCTCTAAATATTTGAAGTGGATTTGCAGATCAAGAAGTTACAGACTGCTCTGTGGACTAGGGGCAGTGGGTCTCAAACATCTATGTGCGTGTTGATCCAGGATCTGATTTTCATTGGTCAGGGAAAAAAAACAAATGAGAAAATTTAGGACATTCTAGTGAGTTTTTCATATATTTGAAAGTATTCCACTTAAAGGGCTGACTTTTATTCTCAGACTTTTGGTCTTCTCTGTATTTCCATACGCCTTTTATTTTTAAATGTACTTGCCGATGAAGTGCACATTCTGGGAACCATTACTGGAATATATAGAAATATGAGAGCCTGTCAGCTGAGAACTGGCTGAGCTAACTCTATGCATATCATGCAGACCACACAAGTCTAGCTGCCAGCTTTGGGTCAATCACGATCCGGCTGATCTAGCTGCAATTAGCCCCAGGCGGTGTCCAGCCTCTCATCCTTCTCCTATTAAATCTGTTCCCTCCCCAAATCCTGACCATCACTACGTGCCTCCATTTCAAAATATGGGACACCTCAGACCAAACCCATCCTTTATTTGAACCCAAGAAGAATGAGTGAGTGCTGCGTAATCCTGTGTGATAGAACAATCCGTGCAGAGTGAAAATGGAGGGAAATAAGTATTCTCACCTCTCTGGAAAACAATGGTCATCCACATGAGAAATCTGCAGGCAGGCAGCACCATTCTGATTCAGCTAGACGATTTCAACCTAGTGAAGAAAAACATTTTGGCAAAGAATTATTTCAACAAAGAAGTAAAACACAGAATTCCGATCGTAGCTGAGGCCAGCTGTTATAAGCTACATGAAAGTGCATTGGAAGGAAATCTCTCTGTCCATTGCATTGTAGTATTATTAATACTCATTGGACCTCTTAACATTAAGCCTCAAAGTGGGCATCCGTGACTGCAGCACATCTTAGGCTGAACTGGCTGGGATATTGTATTCCTTAAAGAAAGGAAGAGCATGAGACTCAGAGGAGGAGAGAGATCCTGAGAGGGGGGACCCTGGCTGGGACTCCAGCCCATGTGGATTTCAGACCCTCTGATGTGTTTACAGTTCTACTCAGTTTTGCATCATTGAGGGGAAAAAAGTCCACAAAGTCCTCTCCTTATAGAAGATATTTTCAGATTGAGATTTTAGGTAATTCCAAGTTCTTTTACACAGAGGACAAGATACGTATGAAACTGTCCCTTTGATGAAGCCCTGGGAAAACATTAATATAATTTTATAATCCTACCTACAGAGCCATCCCTTATCCCCTCTTCCCCATAACCAATCATCTGCTCTAGTTAAATGGGAGCCTTCACGGTGATTCTTTTGGCTAGGTTTTACACCATAAGGAAAGTAGGGCTTCTGGATTTGACACACAGAAAATTCCTTGGTGCTAGGAAGTCTAAGGAACTGAGAGCAGTGACTATAAAACAGAAGTCTGGGGCAAGAGCTTGTGGCAGTCTCCTCTTCCCCATCTTCTGTTCTCCTATTTCCCGCTACCCTCCCACACACACACCTGCGGTCTGAGGAAGCATCACTCAGTGTGATGAATAATGGCTTTTGAGTAGCTATCTGATGCTCACAAAGGATGTTCACTTTCCTGATATATTTCATCATCACAAAACATATGGAGCAGATATCCTTACTGTCCTTGGCTTATTGACGAAGAAACTGAGGTTCGGAAATGGATCACAACACCAAAAAATGTGGAAGAACTGGAACTCAAATATCAGTTTTCCTAACTTCATATCCTGTGTCTTAAGGGGCACTTGAGGCTCGTTAGCTGTATATAGTCTGAGGGAGGAATCTCAGCTTTTTGATTAAGTATATTAAGTATACTTCTTTTTCCCTCAAGATTTGTAATTCCCTGAGTTCCTAAAACATAGTTAAAAATAAAACCAAAGAAATAAACAGAAAACAAAGAATACAACCTGAGAATAGCAGAGACCGCCCCATCTAATTCTGCCCTTCTCTTAGGAAATGACAGCAAAGAGCAGGAAGGAGGCAGTGGGCAAGCCAGTAAGGCTCTGAAAGATACAAGGAGAGAGAGAAAAACAGTCATGTTAACTCACAAGCTGCACCAGTGAAGCTGTGCCCTGGGCCTGGAGAAGCAGGGCAAGAAGCCAAGAAGAGCGCCCTCTAAGGGTTAGAGAAGCTACCCGCGGAGAAGACGAAGGAGCAGCGCCAGCCTGAAACCCTGGCACGTCTCACCTCTCCCACATAGACCGTGTTTGAACAGAGCAGACAAAATTATTGATTCTCAAAAGCTGAAATAACTAAGACTCTGCAACATTTGGGGGAAAACTAACACCTTAAAACAGAGACCAAATTCAACAAATAAAGTGTCTTGAAGAATCAGAGTTAAAAGAGCTTACAAGGTTTTAGAATACGTATAAAAATATCTCTGGAAAGACAGAGGATATTATAACTAAAACATTGACTGAGTATTACAGGAATTAAAATTTTGACAATCAAAATCGAAAGATCAATTTGGGAGCTACATAGTAGAATGGACACATATGAACAGCATTTTGAAATACCAAGCTAAGGAATTCTCTCAAAATATAGTTGGAAGAGACAAAGACGATATGAAAGAAAAGTTAAGAAACAAGAAAGACTGACTCAGAGATTTCCAGGGCCATCTAATAGGGGTTCTGGAGAGACAGAACAGAGAGAACGTAAAAGAGGGGAAATAACTGAGAAATTAGTAAAATAAAATTTCTCAGAGAAAGAAAATATTCATGTTGGTATTGACCAGTCTCCAAGCAGGATAAATGAAAAAAGCACTTACATCTAGATCCATCCTTGTGAAATTTCAGAACAAAAAGAATAAAGAGAGTAAAAAACAGAAGATCAAAGATCATATTGACATCAGACTTCATCACTAATACTGAAATCAAGAAGAAATTGGAACATCTTCAAAGTTCTGAGGGAAAAAAATTGACCCTAAAATTTTAACTTAGCCAAACTATAACTCAAGTGTGAAAGCAAAGACATTTTTGTAAATGTAAGAACTCAAAAAATTTCTCAACCGTGAATCAGCTCGGGAAAAAACTAGTAAAGAATGTATTTCCAGATAATGAAAAATAGATCCAAAAAGAAGATATGGGATAGAAAACCCGGGAGACAGGGGGACGGGTAGCGAAACTAGAATGGGGGGAGGTGGAGCACATGCTTAGCATGCACCAGGTCCTGGGTTCAATCCCCAGTACCTCCATGAAAAAGAACCCAGAATAAATAACACTTAAAGCTTAATAATTGTTGGGAGAGCGATAAAGATTTTCTCAGCATAGAAAATGGCAGCAGAAACAGAAGAAGCTGGTAAATCAAAGTGTGCAAAAATTCGTTTCCTCTCAAGGTGGAGTTAAATGCTGGATAATTCTAGACATAGACAGAAAAATGTGTTTAAGAGGCATATGACACATACAAGAATAACCATTCAAAAAGTAGAAACAGATTGTGTCACTTTAGAGAAACTAAATGTAACGAAAAATGCATAAACAAAAATCAAAACATTTCTCCACCCTGGAAAGAAACCTTTTATTCATTAGCAGTCAGTTCCCATCGCTACCCCCTGTATTCACCATCCTCCACCCGTTGGCATTCACTAAGCTACTTTCGGTCTCTACTAAAAGTAGATTTGCCTGTTCTCTACATCATATAAATGGTATCACACAATATGTAGCCTTTTGTGGCTGGCTTCTTCTACTTAACATGAATGGAAGTTTGTTTTCAAGGTTCATTCATCTTATAGGATACATCAGTACTTCAATCATTTTATGGCCAAATAATATTCCATTGTGTGGACATCTGGATCGTTTCCACTTTTGATTACTATGAATAGTGTTGCTATGAACGTTCATGTACACATTTTTGTGTGGGCGTGTGTTTTCATTTCCTTGGGTATGTATCTAGGAGAGGAATTGCTGCGTCTTATGGCAACCATGTTTAATCATTTGAGGACATGGCAAACTGCACTTTTTACACTCCCATCAGCAATATGTGAGAGTTCCAACTTCTCTACACCCTCACCAATACCTGTTACTGTCTATCTTTTTTATTATACATACTCTAGTGGATTTTAAGTGGTATCTCATTGTGATTTTGATTTGTATTTCTCTAATGACTAAAGACAAGATCTTTCCATGTGCTTATTAGCCATTCATATATCTTCTTTAGAAAAATGTCTATCCAAGCCCTTTGTCCATTTTTAAGTTATTTATTTACTTAATTATTGAGTTGTAAATGTTCTTTATTCTAGATATACAGGTGTCTTATCAGATATATGACTTGCAAATATTTTCCTCCTGTTGTGGTGGTCCTCTTATTTTGACGGTGTCATTTGAACATTCTTAATTTTGATGAAGTCCAATTTATCGATTTTCTCTTTTATCACTTGTGTTTTTGGTATTGTATCTAAAAAATCATCACTTTACCCAAAGTCATGAAGATTCACTCTTGGTTCCCTCCAAGAGTTTTATTTTTATAGTTTTGACTTTTTCATTCAAATCTATGGTCCACTAGGGTTTATAGTCTAAGTGTTGTCACTCAAAGAGCTTGGGAATTGAGGAAGGGGTGGCGGTTAGGTTTTGGTGGGGTCATGTAATGCCATTCAGTGTGACTGGCCCTGTTGGCAGTCTACCCAACTGTCATTCCTTCCTTCCATTCCTTCTTGCCAACAGAACCCCCATTTCATTGAGACATGGATATCTGGGTCTTTTCTACCTCTAACAGGTGAATTTTTATTGATTTAAGCCAGTCATGGTTTAGACAGGAGCATGTGATCTATCAGTCTGGCTAATAATACATGATACACAGAAGCAGGTCTGCTGGGGTCGGGGGAGTGGTGGCTCAAGAAAAGATTTTCCTTACAAACAAGAGACCCACTGAATGAAAGGACTCTTCTTCTACGTGACTAAGTCATGTCCCTATGTAACACCCAGAATTACAGCAGTCATCCTGCAACCACGAGGAGACAAGCCTAAGGACAAAAACCGAGACAGTGAGGACGACAGAGCAGAAAGACAGGAAAAAATTCACATCCTTGATAATGCCATTGACCACTAAATTAAGCAACCTCGTAATTTCCCTATACACTTGTCTGTTATATGAGATAATAGATTTTTGCATATTGTTTATATATATTTGATATATAATTATCTACATTCATATTAATTGACATATAGTGTATATAGTATATTTACATCTTTATTAATGCCTTTGATTTAAAGTCATAGTTATAGGTTTGGAAATGGCCTTAAAAGTCATCTATATTCTGGTCCAACTCTTTCATTTACTTACAAGGAACAGCTTAGACAAATGCGGCATCTTGCCCAAGGTCAAAGTTAGCAACTGATGAGATTCTAGAATTCAAGTCTTCGGATTCCTTTTTGAGTCTGTTGGGCTGTCTACTCCTCTAAATAATGAAGATAGTTCAAAAAATTTTCAGGACATTTGATGACGGGAAGGGACATAGGGTAACAAATTTCCTGACAGGGAGCGACTGATTTTCATACAGTGAAAGATTAATTCAGTCATTTTAATATGGGCTTCTGCCAGAGACAGACAATTCCCACCCCAGAATCAGTCCCCTCCCCAGATTCACAGAACTGCTGCAGACCTTTAGCAAGAAACATGAGCTATTATCTCATTTAAATAAATATGCAGTGATATTTTCTCCTTAAGTATCCACAGGTATTCAGAGAGCCACATACAGA